AAGGAACCAATCTCGTCGGCACAAACGTCTCTGCCCCCATTTCGCCATTTTTTTTTTATCTTCAGAGACACAACTCTAGACACAAAGCGAGAAGTGTGGCTGCTACCACACGGAACTCACTAGCCGTGTGGATGACAACCGTTAAAAATACTTTGTGTGTGTGTGTAAGAAAGAGAATTTTTGTTTTATTTCTTAAAATTCATGCTAATGTTTTTTCTTCGGTTTATCTTCGTTTCCCTTACAACCCAGATTTGTTAGAGTCGAAAGGCAAATGTAAGTAAATCTTTGCAAGAGTCTCGCCCACACAAAACACAATTCACTGGCACGCGTCCAAGTTTCTACGACACTCCAGCACACACACACGCACACAATATACTCACACCGCGTATATATATATATATATTGTTTATTTGGACAACAATCCCTCTTTTCTACAAGTTTCGTTAACCGACTAACTACGGAATTTACTAAAAATTCTAAAACGTAATTCACGACTGCAGTGACAGTCAAAAGGACACAGATGGATGCAAATAAATGAACTTTGTAAAGTTAATTCGGAAGTTTAACAATTTAGTCGGAAGTTATAAAAATTTAATAAAAAAAACTATTGTTCACACCGAACTTGTCAGTATTTTTTAATAAAACTGGTTTCATATATATATATATATATATATATATATATATATATATATATATATATATATATATATATAATTATTTATTTAAAAATATGATTCCAAATCGCTACATAAGAGGTCTCATGTTTCAAAACAAGAGCCGAAAACTTCAATATATATATATATATATAAGTTTCGTTAAAAAACGACAGACAAGTTACTGCGGTTAAGTTTTTATTCCATTTTTCTCGTGGTCTCATGTTTTTTTTTCTTTTCTGAACCTAACTTATGTAGAAATTGTCCGAATGTTCTGTATCTTCGAGCGCTTTTGGTTATTCTTTTAGCCTTTATCAAGGACCATTTTATTTTCACTTAAATTAAACTTATTATATATATATATATATATATATATATATATATATATATATATATATATATATATATATATATATATATATATATAGTAGGTAGGCTAAAAAGTTATCTTAAAAGTTATTTATTTCCTAAAATCTGATCCTGATGTTGGGTAAATTAATTACCGATATTATTATCAAGTGGCTCAGCTAGAGAACTTTATATATTTACACTATGGCAAAAGCATATACATTTCTTCAGTTTGCAAATAAAAAATATATATTTATATATATCAGTTATCGCTGGTGCGTATCATTTTTGTGTCTATGGAAAAGTAATTCTGCGTTTAGAACTTGTATGCCTGTAAGTAGTGCTTCGCAAACGTTTGAGGAACATAAGGCATGAAAAGGCTTCCCTACATTATGTTAGAAAATGATTGAGATTTCAAGAGATATGTGAAACGTCCGATGAACAGCTTTTGATCAAATTCCCCAAATACGTCACCCCCATTCTCTATCCGACACAAGCGAGGGTTGCTCCGAAAGTAATAGCTGCTATTTTATTATGTCGGTAAAGTTTCATCAGGCCCATAGTCAGAGTAAGTGAGGTGACGCCAGTAAGAAATGATTTTTTTCGGTTGAACTTCGAATGTGAATTCCAATAATCACTTTAGGGTAACAGTATCTGAACAAATCGAAAATGGTGAAATTCGAACCCGGGTCCCATGATTCAAAAAAAGGTTTATATTTTTCTCTGTTTTATTGTCATATCAATTTTTCTTCCGGTTATTTAATGTTGTCTTCTGTCGTCCAATAAAAAAGGGGGTGGCATAGGTTTGGTTTGCACGTGAGTCAAAAAAGTGGATGTATCTATATAAACATGGGTGTCTCCTTTTGGGAGGTTACCAGTTTGTACGAGGTTGGAGTTTGCATGTCCTTGGTCCTTAACCGATAGAGTGAAGTCATAAATAAAACGGAACAATTTCTTTTTGAAAAGTGAAATATTATTAATTATTGGAAATGTGTTCGATTAAAGATTTCTACTGTAAGAATAAGCAGACTAAAATTAAAACTAAAACGAACAATATTGGTAGTAATAAGGGGGAGAACGAGAAGATACAAGCAAAGAGGAGGAAATAAAAGAATGATCTTTGTATCAGTCACGGTCAATATTCAAACATTTTAGCAAACACGTGGCCTCTCCACGGGCAAGTGCATATGAACCTAACGAGTTTCCGAGAATCAGTCAATCTTTTAGCCGACATTCACCGATTAGCTGAGGAACATGACCAACAACTTCAAAAGTTGGCATCGTTAAAGGCCTAACAAACATTGCTACATCATGAGTCTTAACATCTCCACCATGATAGTGCTCGGCATAATCAAATTCGAAGAAGTTGATTTTGATGACCATTTGTCATCCAAGTTTTACATCATGGATTTTTTCGAAGGTGCTTTTTTTTTTTCTTTAGGAAGAGGAACTTTATAATGATCTGGAGTTCAACACTTAAAAAGAACACACTTTTTATTGACACGGTCCAGTCACATTGGTATTATACAATATAAAAGAATACCCTTTATCTACAGTGACAAAATAAAGCCCAGACATTGATAAGTAAGTTTTCCTATCACGTGGCGTCGCTAATAGTGTAGAAGCAATCAGATTTAAAATCGATAGTATAAAATGTCATGTTCAAATGTGTTTAATGACAAATATTGCCCGTTAGTCATGAATCGATGTCCAAGTTGCATATAAAGCGATGATTAGGTGAGTCTTCGCCCAGAATTTCTAACATTTAATTCGATAAGATATTGTGAAACCTTACAAGCATTGAAATAATGCAACTGCAACATATGACTTGAAAAGAGAACATTTTTGCCTCATTGCAAGCCAATAAGCAATGAGAAACTTGAAATGCGCAATTGTTGCATACCTTCCGTCAATGAGTTCAGTGCCATACGCGATACACTTGAATACGATCATGTCTCTTTTGATTCATGACTGACTAAACAGAAGATTGTCCCGTAGTGGGTTTCCGACTCTTTCTGCGGTAGACTGGTTGCCAACTAAGACTATAGGATCCAATCTGTCCTACTATTTAACCCATAGCTGGGGGGTAGGAGGTGGATTCATACCCCCTTTCTCAAGGGTATTTGCGCGTAAGGGAATGTAATGAAGCCGAGTGCAAGAAATACACCTTCAGAATTTCACCAAATTGCCACAGCCCGATTACTAGGTGTTCGTGAAATTGAAAAAAGATATTGAAAGGTCAACATTTTTATCAGAAGCTATACGCCATTGGATTGACAGTAAACCATAAACTGTCTTTATAGACGGAGTGAAAAAGCGGATAAATTGTTTGTCAAATGTGAAGCACTAAATAGTGACTATGCTGAAAAGAAAATCTTGTAATTTTGAAGAGAAATAAACTTCCTTCATTTCCTTCATACCAGTTTCTTTTATTCTATCTGGTTCATTTGCAGTATCATGGGCCTTATCAGTATCATGGGCCTTATTTAGTGAGGAACTCTCGTACAGTGTTTTATACATTCATTACTGACCACTCGCAATTTTTTCCTTCCTGATTTTTAATATTCAAAATACAGATTGTGTGTCGAAAGTTACTCAAAGAAACTTTTGGCAAAAAAAAAAAAAAAAAAAAATTCAGTGGTTTCTCATTAAAACCTTTTCTTATCCCAGAAATATTTCGTTGATGATGAAAAAAAATGATTAAAATGAATCATGGGAATGATAGAGTACGGGTAATGCCAATGAATGGGTAGCGCTAGAAAAACGAAACTTTACTACGCCGAGTTCAGAACTAAAATACAAGCATTTTTGGGGGTTTCGTTTCGCCTTTCCTATTTGCTTTTTAACTCAACATGGAATCAAAAAAGTTTTGCTTCATGAATTTTACTCATGATGTCTTGTCCGATAGAAATATCTAGTATATATCTATTTAATTGCCAGCAGTTCCCGTTTTAAAAATGAAAGGCAGAAGTAGGTTTTAAAAATGTTAAAATTCTTTTGTATATAACAGGTTAAGTAAAGGTACGAAATTGATAATTAAAGTATCTGGTTGGATGACTCATTCGTAGTCACGTGTGCATTCCGCCACTTTCATTCTCCCCCCACATACACACACACCTCCCTCACATCACGGGCACGGCCATCGTTCTTCACTCCTATAGGCATCTTCAGTACGCGTTTACATAGGGTCACACCCGCACTTGGTAAAAATATCTTAGGTGTTTTACGGAACTACAGAAAGGGGCATTTTGTACGTGAGTGAGTGTGCATGTTGCGTGGGGGGTCGGCTTGCGTGCGTCGGGATAGAGTTAAAATACTTCAGTTATTTAAAGCCGCCAATGGATGATCTTTTTTTTTTACAGAAGTTATTTTGTTTACTTTTTAGGTTGTTGTTTTGCTTCTCTGACCATCAGTTACCACTGGGGGGGGAGAAGAGACAAAAAAAGAAAGATCGAGAAGCAAGAGAAAAATTATTTTTTCCTGTTAATTTTAGTCATTTTGTTTTGTTGAATGTGATGTGAATAAACATTTCTGATTTGTAAAACAAATCTATCTATCTATCTATCTATCTATCTATCTATCTATCTGTCTATCTTAATATTGCACCTAAAGTATACTGAAGCAGCGAAATATATGCAAATGTATGAGATGGATCAATAAATCCGTAGCCTAATCATGGAAATCGCATTTCCTTTGCACAGCAACTGTTCATTTTCAACATAATCCCCTTCCTTGTCAATGGACTTAATTCAGTTTTGAATATTATTAATCATATAGATCGAATATTATACAGAGGAAATTTTAGAATCAAAATTCAGATCCTCTATCGCTCTCTCTCTCTCTCCCTCTCTCTCTTTCTTTCTCTCTCTCTCCCTCCCTCTCTCTTTCTCTCGTGTGCGTGCGTGCGTGTGTGTGTGCGTGTGTGTGTGTATGTGTAAACGAACTTATATATTTACATATACACTCCGCCCTGACCCAGCCGTCATATAAACTCCGTCGTCACGCGCCCGGTAATTTCCCAAACAAGCGAAACATAAACAAAATGAAAGAAGATTTTGCGCGTTCATTGCCTGAAAAGGACTTGAAGATAAAAAGAAATGGACGATGCAGAGAGTCGAGTAAAAAGGTGGGAAGAAAGAGGAAAGGATTCCCAAAGAGAAGAAGTGGGAGTGAGCAGGGAGAGAATAGATTGAGGAGCAGGGGGGGTAAAGATAAAGAAAATGCTAGTGTAATAAAAGACTACCAGTCTAGATTTCTCTTTCTTTCAATCTTTCTCTTTCTCTCGCTTTCTTTCTCTATCTGTCTATCTATCTTTCGTATGCGAGTGTTTATGCATGTGTGTGTGTGTGCGCGCGTGTGCATGCGCACGCGCACGCGCGTTCTGGATGTTCGGCTTGTGAGAAATAATACAAGAAAGAAGAAAGAAATAAGGAGGACTCAGAATAAAAAGTGAATAGTTAAAAGAAAGAAAGAAAGAAAGAAAGAAAGAAAGAAAGAAAGAAAATGAAAAAGTAATAGGTGGATGAGGGAGAGAAAAAAGAAGTAAAAAGATAAAATGGGGGTGTAAGAGAAAACTAGGAGTTAATGAAAGAAGAAGAAGGAGGAGGAGGAGGAGGAGGAGGAGAAGAAAAACAAGAAACAACAGTAGGCGGTAAAAATATTTAGTAAACAATGATTGAGATGAAAAGATAAACCTTTGAAAATGCGACGAATTGGTCTGTCGTCATTGTAGTAGTTTGCTTTACTTCAATTACTTTTTATGAGTAGGTGAGAATCTTGCCCAATTTCCAAAATGTCGATAAACCACGACATATCAAGAGGATCCGTAATTAATTGAGAGAAAAATTCAAATATAAGCATTCTGATATTTAGCAAGTCGAGTGCATAAAAGAAGCGAAATTCTGCATCGAATTGCAAGTGTCTTAAATATGAGACTGGCTTGTTAAGAACGGCAATTCGATAAGGAATCCGGTTAGAATAGACAAAGTAGTTATGATAAGCTCGATAGAGAGGCGTAAAAAATAATTCCAAGAACGTAAGGTCATCGAGACATGGTCTCTGATTCTTCAAGTATTTCTTGGAGTTAAAGCATTCTACGATCGGCCTTGGCTATTCTTTTCGACTTTTGGCTGATAACACTTACACAAAAGCACTCAGGAATACTTTTGAATAAAGAACAAAGCAAGAATTTTTTAAAGAATGCAATTCACCAACACAAATTACAATTTGAAAATTCTGCTCTGTAAAGGTTTGTTTTAATTCAGTCCAGCAAGGTTACCAATGTTGTCAGAACAAGAAAGAAATTTGTCAAGTCTCCAAAAAGTTTATACCAGGTGCTGATCTCATTTTAAAAAATACGATAACCTTGTCTGTGCACTGTCTTATCGTCAATCATCTATGCAATATTTTTACTGCTTCATTGTTATATAAAACAAATATAAATTAATGAAGACAATGTTGATCAAGTCATTATAAAATGTAAATGGCTTACATTAACGATAACTATTTTTGTTGTTTCTGACATTTTCAATGGACGATTCAAATTGTTTTGATTGCATAGGAAGAAAAGGGAAAATGGTGTTTTCAATGAAATTTTGAATTCTATCTCTGGAATGTAGGTGGGGATAAGATGAAGCGTTTTATATTTTTCTAAAAAATATTGTTACGTCATCATCAAATCTTCCAGTGCATATTTTGGGGTTTAGTGATGAACCGGAGGGTTAGAGTTAATTTGAATAATCGCCATCTTAAAGACGTCGACAGTCTGTCAGTTTACCCGTTGGGTAATAGTAGCGCGAAAAAGACTAAAGAGACTGATAACCTCCAAAACTGTTTTGTTGTCAGCTGTAGATTCAGGAAGGTTATCGTTGTTCATTCTCTCATGTTATAAAACGTCGACGCAAAAAGTGGCTTTATAATGGCCCAGTCCAACCTTAACTGATACTTGCCTGGTGGTTTGGGTCAACGTTGTGCCTGATAACTTGTCCGGAACAAACCAGTTTCCGTCGTTTCATAGTCGACAGAAGTGTTTTGGTGACGATTCCGCAAGTGTTCGTACGTTTTGGGTTCCTATATGAAATATAGCACTTGATGTTTCGCCATTAATGTCCAGTTTGAATGATAGAGAAACATAAAGGGTGAAATTAATCTCACTTATCTGCCAAAAGATTTCTGCTAGCGGCCGCTATATGGCTTTGTCAAAGCAGTATATAAACAAAAGACGCGATAGAGTCATTCAATTTTTTTTACACACAAGATGCCGTATAGGCAAAGCGTTCACCTCTAAGAGACCTTTTGGTCCCCGGCAAATCTAAGATGGAATTGAATACAACACAGAATGGTGCACAACATACAATCTTTCAAGCTTATTAGACCACATATAGATATACCTAATAATTCTACTAGACTAATTCATCTCATTAGAGATAATTTAGTCTAGACTAACTTATCCCTAAACTTATCTAGACTAACTTTCTCTCGCATAAAAGTCTCTCAGCGTTTTTCATTGGAGCTTCACGCATCCACACGTATGATAAGGACATCTCTATATATTTACCTTCAGTCAGCGTTTTTGTATTCATTCTATTTAACTTGCTTTGCCAATAAAATGTTGCTGTTAATTGCACGTAATTATTTGTATATTTATTTATATTTTACGCTTTTGTTTGAGAAAATTCTCTAACCGATCAACAAATATTCTTTAACAAAAGAGAAATGATAAAAAGTGTCTCACTTGAATATAATTAAAGCTTACAGAATAAACTCAGTTGTATTAGTCCTAAGTGTTATTTTTCAGCGAAAAGATTTTGTATTACATTGACTTAACCTATTCAATTACCCACTTTCTGGTCGCATTTAACTTTCTAGTGTCTCTTACTTTGACGACTGGCTTCTCCCCCACCTCCTTTGTCCATAAAATCATTTTAAAAAAGAAACCTACCAAAGTTCAGTCCACTATTCGTCACGTATTTTAGCGATTCAATGTTTCCCATATCAATGATCATTTCTATGAAATATTCGATTTCTTTTACGGCTTTAAGTAATTTTTATTTTATTTCATTTAATTACTGATTGATTCATTAAAAAAAAAAAGAAAGTGTGTTGTGTATTTTTGGTAACACAATTTTTTCGAATTCAAATGCTGGAACATGACCAGAAAGGGTGCAAGTCGTTAAGGGTGCCAGAGATGGGAGCTCCTTACAACAGATGAAGATCCCAATTCAGGGTCTTCTTACAACTTGAAGGAAACCCTCCATGGGCAATAAGGGAGCTAGGTACGGCTACAGCCCTGAAGACATGGTCAATCACTCCTTGGAAGAACCCCTACATGGTGAATCATGAAGAGGTTCATCCAAGAAGTGATTGACCATGTCTTCAGGAGTGTAGGCATACTTAATACACTTGGTCAATTGCGGGTTGGTGAGGTTTAATTCATTTTCATTTCAGAGTTGTCCTTCTCCTAGTCCCGGGGTTACCAAACTATGGCCTGCGATGTCAGTTCATCCGGCTGAACTGTGCCACAAATGAGCTAAAATATAAATATTTATATGGAATTAAGTACATGCAATGAAGGTTGATTAATGAACATTTGAAAGCAATTCTCTTGGTTGGATGTAGCAATTCCAAAGCAGATATTGACTATATCTTAAAAGGTAAATGTCACAATCTCACTAACCTTTTTTTGCTACTTAATTTGTGAGATTCGGATATGTGCATACTGGGCATGATATAATTATTTTATTGCTAATGTCGCCTTCTTTGATAACTTTTTGGTAAATAAATGTTTGTTGTCTTTATTTTATTTTTGTGTATTCAGTGTATTGAAAAAAAAATGATTATCCGGTCCGCGCTTATCATTCTTTCAGTTATCTGACCCTCTGTGAAAAAAGTCTGTCTTGTTATTTATCTGGGGAGAGAAGAGGCTGAGTCATATTCTTTCCCAAAGGTATTTGCACATAAGAAAATGGAAATACCCCAACCCTAGCCGCTACCAACTTTAGCTTAACTTTAAAACATATTTATTTACATTATTTACGTGCGAATTATTATCTTCTTCTATGTTGTTGTTATCACAACGTTTCGACCGTTGCACCAGCCAGCCTTCATCAGATGTATGACAATCTGGGTAATCTACAGTGAATTTAGAACGCTTTATTTAATCTCCGAGGGATAGGTAATGTAAATAATGATAACTCCTCATCCCAGAGATTCAGACAGAATCTCTCACGTAAGTGGTGAACTTCCCCGGGCGTTTCCCCAGTAACTGTGACGGACACGCTTCTCTTCTTGATCTCTTTTTTTACCTCTATCCCTGACTCATGCCAAACTATTCAGCTCTGCCATCTTGGCAACTCTGACCAGCCGTACTTTCTGTAAACATCCCTTTCCGCTCTTCCACCAGCCATCAGGATATCTTTCTGTTATCAACGAGCAGATTGGGATTCGTTCTGTGATTTCCTTCGTGACGATCCTTGGAATAAAGTTTTTAATCCTCTTGTTCACAAATACAGGTCTGAGGTCTACTCCTGAATGAAAGCTGTCATTGATGCTTTCATTCCAGCAAGGAAATACCAAGTTAAATCGCATTCATCTCCTTGGTTTTCACCTGCAGGCTCAGTCTGGAATCACTTCTTCTGGCTATATCAGAACGACACGTCTGATTGCAACAGATGTCTCTTTGTCTCTCTGCTCGTAACGAGTAAAGCGTGTCCTCAAAGAAGCGAATTTACTGTTTGCTGATAGAATGAAACAACGTATAGCACCTTGCAAGTTCGGTTCTAGAAATTATTGGCAGCTCTGCAAGAGTGTGCCGAACAACAGCAAATCTTCAATTGCCCCTCATTCGATGTCTTGACATCTATTCGAAGTCTTGACATCTACAGCAAATGAAGTTGAATGCTTTGCTCGGAAATTCTCTTCCAATTCAACACTCGACACATTTGGCGTACCCACACCTGATTTCCCCACTAGAACAGAGGCTCTACTGAGTGATATGCACATAACCCCGTCACATGTCTCGGATATCATTTCTAAATTAGACTCCCATAAGGCAAGCGATGGTGACCGGATCCCAGCAGTCGTCCTAAAGAAATGTGCTACCAAGCTGGCTCCAGTTCTCTCCAAACTCTACGACTATTGTCTCACTGCTTCTTGCTTTCCAGCTTGTTGGAAATCCTCCTTTGTAGTTTGTTTTTAAGAACTCTGAGGAACCTTCTGACACCTCTAACTATCACCCTAATAGTCTCCTACCACTTTCCGGCAAAGTATTCGAAGCTTTAATCAATGCTGAAGTGGTTAAGCATGTTACCTCTCACGACTACTCTCTGGGAAACAATATGGCTTCCGTTTTGCCAAGTCTAACGCTGATGTGCTAACGGCTATTACTGAATATGTATATCAAGCTCTTGATAAAAACGGTGAAGCTCGACCTATGGCTCTAGACATCTTGAAGTCTTTTGACAAGATTTGGCATACTGGTCTTCTACGTAAGCTCCAGGTCTACCGTACTACAGGACGACTCTTTGATTTAATCCAATAATTCCTATCAAATGAGGAAATGAAAGTCGTTTTGAACGGGCTTGCTTCCAGATCCTTTCACGCGAATGTCCCCCATTGCCCTCTGCTGAGTCCTACGCTGTTTGTGATCTTCATCAATGATCTTCATGATGTCATCAGTTCCCAAGTAGGCATTTAT